ATGATACGATTCTGATTCTGATTCAATATATGATTCTGATTCTGATTCAATATGATACGATTCTGATTCTGATTCAATTTTGGTCATTCAACCTGATTCAATTTCTGATTCCCACAATTCTGATTCTGATTCTGATTCTAATTCCGATTCAATATGATTCTGATTCCGATTCAATATGATACGATTCTGATTCTGATTCAATATGATATGATTCTGATTCCGATCAATATGATATGATTCTGATTCCGATTCAATATGATATGATTCTGATTCTGATTCAATTTTGGTCATTCAACCTGATTCAATTTCTGATTCTGATTCAATATGATACGATTCTGATTCTGATTCAATATGATATGATTCTGATTCTGATTCAATTTTGGTCATTCAACCCGATTCAATTTCTGATTCCCACAATTCTGATTCTGATTCTGATTCCGATTCAATATGATACGATTCTGATTCTGATTCAATTTTGGTCTTTCAACCTGATTCAATTTCTGATTCCAACAATTCTGATTCTGATTCTGATTCCGATTCAATATGATATGATTCTGATTCTGATTCCGAATCAATATGATATATTTCTGATTCCGATTCAATATGATCCTGATTCCGATTCAATATGATATGATTCTGATTCTGACTCAACTTTGGTCATTCAACCTGATTCCTCAGTCCACCTCGTCATATCAACAAGGAAGCTGTTGTGGCGATTGCTGTCCATGTTATCAAACTCTCAGAATCGTATTCCATATATTTATTATTATAGAAAGCGTTCATGTTTATGCATAAATTATTCATACATGTAAAGCGAATTTCTCGATAAGAAAAATCCGGAAATTGGACGTACGAATGCGCTCGCACGCACGCACGTTTTATGCGATTGAGTCCGGATAGTAGTTATATAATGGTGATATAGACGGTGCACACTGTAGCCGTAATACGTAATTCAGTAAATAGATAGACGATAGATAGAGAGGGTTGCTTAGGAGGAGACGTAATGATTTTTCAAAATTCTAGAGGGGAATATTGTGAGAAAGAAAAAGAAGTTTGCGAACTTCGGATGTGAATCACAATGAAACCGTAATGCATAATTCAGTAAATAGATAGACGATAGATAGAGAGGGTCGTAATGATTTTACACATTTCAAAAGGGGAATATTGTGAAAAAAAGGAGAAAGAAGTTTGCGACTTCGGATGTAAATCACAATGAAACCGTATACATAACTCAGTAGATAGATAGACGATAGATAGAGAGGTTGCTTAGGAGGAGACGTAATGATTTTTCAAATTCTAGAAGGGGAATATTGTGAATAAAGAAAAAAGAAGTTTGCGAACTTCGGATGTGAATCACAATGAAACCGTAATGCATAATTCAGTAAATAGATAGACGATAGATAGAGAGGGTTGATTAGGAAGACACGTAATGATTTTTCAAAATTCTAGAGGGGAATATTGTGAGAAAAGAAGAAAGAAGTTTGCGAAGTTCGGATGTAAATCACAATGAAACGTAGTACATAAATTCAGTAAATAGATAGACGATAGATAGAGAGGGTTGATTAGGAAGACACGTAATGATTTTTCAAATTTCAAAGAGGAAATTGTGAGAAAAGGAGAAAGAAGTTTGCGAAGTTCGGATGTAAATCACAATGAAACCGTAATGCATAATTCAGTAAATAGATAGACGATAGATAGAGAGGGTTGCTTAGGAGGAGACGTAATGATTTTTCAAACTTCTAGAGGGGAATATTGTGAAAAAAAGGAGAAAGAAGTTTGCGAAGTTCGGATGTAAATCACAATGAAACCGTAATACATAACTCAGTAAATAGATAGACGATAGATAGAGAGGGTTGCTTAGGAGGACACGTAATGATTTTACACATTTCAAAAGGGGAATATTGTGAAAAAAAAGGAGAAAGAAGTTTGCGAAGTTCGGATGTAAATCACAATGAAACCGTAATACATAACTCAGTAAATAGATAGACGATAGATAGAGAGGGTTGATTAGGAAGGGACGTAATGATTTTACAAAATTCTAGAGGGGAATATTGTGAAAAAAGGAGAAAGAAGTTTGCGAAGTTCGGATGTAAATCACAATGAAACCGGAATACATAACTCAGTAAATAGATAGACGATAGATAGAGAGGGTTGATTAGGAAGGGACGTAATGATTTTTCAAAATTCTAGAGGGGAATATTGTGAGAAAAGGAGAAAGAAGTTGCTTAGGAGGACACGTGATGATTTTACACATTTCAGAAGGGGGAATATTGTGAAAAAAAGGAGAAAGAAGTTTGCGAAGCTCGGATGTAAATCACAATGAAACCGTAATACGTAATTCAGTAAATAGATAGACGATAGATAGAGAGGGTTGATTAGGAGGAGACGTAATGATTTTTCAAAATTCTAGAGGGGAATACGTGAGAAAAGGAAGAAAGTTTGCGAAGTTCGGATATAAATCACAATGAAACCGTAATGCATAATTCAGTAAATAGATAGACGATAGATAGAGAGGGTTGCTTAGGAGGACACGTAATGATTTTTCAAAATTCTAGAGGGGAATATTGTGAGAAAAGGAGAAAGAAGTTTGCGAAGTTCGGATGTAAATCAACCCCGGAGGAAGAGGTACACCACCCCACGCCTGGCGCTTACAGGAAGACTACACAGAGATGATTATCACTGTTTATGAATACTGCAGAGACAAGATGGATGTTCAGTTCGAGTTCCAATAGTCAATATTGCAGCACGGTCTCCTCTCCCCCCCTCTCCTCCCTCCTCTCTCTCTCTCCCTCCTCTCTCTCCCTCCCCCACTCTCTCTCTCCCTCCCCCCCTCTCTCTCCCCTCCACACTACTCTTTTATCTCCCTGCTCTCCTCTTGCCCCAGTCCCTCTCCCTTCTCTCCCCTAGTTCCTGGTCTTGCCCACTCCCTCGGTTGACCTCCCTACCCTATCCCCTTCTTCCTCCTCTTCCCCTTCCTACCCCTTTCCCCTTCTTCCTCCTCCTCCTCCTCTTCCCCTTCTCCCTTCTCATCCCTTTCTCCATCCTCTCCCCTTTCCCTTTCCCTTTCCTTCTACCCCTTCTTCTCATTCCCTCTTTCCCTTCCTCCTTTCTCTTTCCTATTCCCCCTTTCCCTTCCTTCCCCTTCATATTCTCCATCCCTTCCTCCTCCTCCTTCTTATCCCCTTTCCCTATCCTTCTACCCCTTCCCTTCTCCTTCCCTTCCCCCTTCTCCCTTTTCATCCACTTTCTCCTCCGTTCCTTTCCTTTCCCTGTCCTTCTACCCTTCTTCTCATTCCCTCTTCCCTTCCTTCTTCCCCTTCCTATTCCCTTCCCCTCTTCCCCCTTCCCCCCTTCACCTTCTCATCCCCCTTCCTTTCTATCCTTCTATCTCCTCTGCCACCCTTTCCCCCTCCCTCCCTTCCCCCTTCCCTCCCTCTCCTCTCCCCACCCCCATCCCCCTCACCCCTCTCCCCATCCCTCTATCTCCCCACCCCCCCCCTCCCTCTTACACACCTTCATATATGCAAATGAGATCGGACTCTAAAAACGGGATCTTATCTCGCAATAGACGGGGAACGGAGTCGCTCGCCAAATAGGGAAATGGCCGTTTTTTCCCTTCGTTTGTTCCT